CTATGTTCTCTGCCTAGCAGGGAAAACAGCACTTTGGGGATGGGGGGGAGGTAAGCCAGTCTAGTGGTATTCTGAGAAGAAGATTGGAGGTGGCACATGCTAGTTGGGTCAAACCACCTCCATCACCTGGCGCCCCACCATTCCAGCCATTGTGGACAGCAGCAGCCCTTGTGGACATGTGAGCTGACAACTGCCCACCTCAGCAGTTAAAGCGACTGAAGACCAAGAAAAGAAAGTTCTTGCTGCTATTTGCTTTGTTGCTGTACCCTAAGGACCACGGGGCCTTTCCACCTGACTTGCAGCTCAAGGTTCCTCTGTGTGTGTGATTAGATTTGGGCACCTTGAGCACAAGAACTGTCTTGGTCTTTGATTTATATCTCTCATTTGACACAGTGCTTTGAAAATATTAAGTTTTTAATAAATGTTCATTCATTCATTCATACATTCACTTATCAACAAGGACTGCCTTTCTCTTGAGGGACCGCACACTCCCCTCCCAGGAGGGTCACAGCTGGTAGTCAATATTATTCCTAAACCTCAATGGGAGGTGGGATTTATTGAGAAGGATTGTTGGCTACCTCCAGAACCCTATTCAACAGCTTCGCTTGACATGGGGCATTCAACAGTTTGCCCAGGGCATGGTCAACAGCAGGGAGTTCCAGGAGCCCTGCAGAGCCTTCCTAGATGAGGGTAAGCCAGGCCAAGCCAGAGTTGAGTTGGTAGCTAGCCTCAGCTGGCTGAGTACAATAGCATAACATTGTCTCCTATGACTTCCTACAGAGTGACCCAAAACAAATTCGAACAAATGGGTCCCCACAGCTCAGTGGGACCTGGCAGGGAACAGTCCTGGGTTAAAGATGCTGGCATCTGCTCATAGTTCCCACTGGAGAGTTTCCCCTACAAGACTGGTTGCCTAGTCTCCCTCCATCTTTCATTTCCCTATATGCTCAATGGTCCATGATTGTGTGATATTCTGAGCTAGTGCTGTTACCTTGTGGACGCAGATGGAACTACACCTGTGCTATCACCAGAAGGCAGTTGTAGGCCATCACGGGCCTAGAGGGAAGGGCTGGGGCCTGTTCCAAGTTCAAGAGCCCTGGCAACACCTGTGCCCTGGAGGTTCTGTCAGTGAAGCAGACAGAGGATCTAGTAAACTCCAAATACTCTCAGCACAGCCCAAGGAACCTACTGTTGCTGTCTTACTGTCATAGCTGGGATTGCATCTGTGTGTACATGTGGGTCTGGGTACCTATGCCCAGTGAAGAAAAGAATTACTTAAAAAAAATTGAGTGATGCTTTCTTTAAAAAGTTACATTGTTTTTCTTTCCCAGTGACTCTTTTCCTGCTTCCCCTCCCTCCCCCAGCCTCCCTCATAACCAAGAAATACAGTTAAAACAAATAAACACATTGCCCTTTTCTGATAATGTCTGATTCCACATTTATAGTCTAGCACCTCTCTCAGAGGGGAAGGAAGCATGTTTTACCACCAGTCCCCTGAAGTCACAACTGATGGGATTCTAAAGTCTTTCAAAGAGGTCTTCTGAAAGAAAGTATTTCTATCCTGCCTACTGTGGCCTGATTCCCCAGTCCACCTCATCCCTAAACCTACACTTCATTCACATGATCTTGGTCTTCTCCCTTTTGATCTCCTGTTGACCATCTGAAGGCCTGACCAATTTGTCTTTACAACCAATCCAGCCTCCTTTCCTGACTTTGCCTGAGCTGGACCTGGAAATGGGGATGTCAAGAAGGTGGGGTGACTAAAGGCTTAGCAAATATTCCCTCAATGTTGGATGATCTCAGCCAATTCCCTTTATAGGCCCTGCCAGACCTTAGGTTTCTAATGCATCCTGGCTAGTCACTTAGATTTTTTGAGCTCCAAACCAGCTATTTCCAACTTCCTGGGCCAAGTCTAGCCTCACTCAACCATTTTTATTTTTAAAGTGTTATTGATATCTTTTGTCTTTGCACAATCCAGATTTTTCCTTTAATCTTTCCTCCTCTTGTTACTCGAGGAGCCATCCTTTATAATAAAGAATTTTATTTAAAAAAGAGGAAGAATTTTTAGAAATCATTGAAGCAGATCTATATATAAAAACCCCCCTGACATTGTATGCGATATTCTACACCTGTGGATATCCACCCTCAGAAAAAGGATTTCTTCCTCATCTCTTCTTTGGAGCCAAGCTTATTCTTTGGAAGTTTTTAACACACACTTTCAATTATTTTGCAGTAGTTGTGCATTCTGTTTATATGATTGTAGTCATTGTGCACATTGTTTTCCAGGCTCTGCTTACCTTATTTTGCTCACATAAGTCTTTTTCTGCCTCTCTGTATTGATCATATTTGTCATTTCTTTCAGCCCAGGAATAGCCCATCATCAAATGTCCATTTTAGTTCCTGTCTCCTCAGAGTCTGTGCCCTGAGGATCACCCTTCCACTCTACCTTCAGTGAAGTCCAACTCAAATGTACCCATATGTTCCATGAAGGCTCCTTTGAACCCTCTGTGAATGATGACCTCTCCCCTCACACCTCACAAAGTATTTTATTTTGCAACTCTGATGCACTAATACAATATTGTGTTTCAGGGATTGGTCATAGCCTCCTACTAGACTGGAAGCTCCATGGTATCAGTGACCATGCCATCAAAGTCATCCAAATCTCTAGATTCTCCTTCAGCCCTTCTATCCAACCCATGGCCAAGTGTTTTTCATTCTACCTCTTCAACTTTCACATCCATTCCCCCTCTCTTCACTCAAATGACTTACCCTCTGCTTCCTGCCTTCTTAACTGCTGTATCACATGCCTTCATCACCTGGGCTATTTCAAAAGCCCCCTAGTTGATCTCCTTCTTCCTTCCTTCCTTCCTTCCTTCCTTCCTTCCTTCCTTCCTTCCTTCCTTCCTTCCTTCCTTCCTTCCTGTCTCACCCCTTTCCAGTCTATCTTCCACAAAGTTGCCAAGTTGATATTTATTTTTTTTTCTTTTTCTTTTTCTTTTTTAGTGAGGCAATTGGGGTTAAGTGACTTGCCCAGAGTCACACAGCTAGTGAGTGTTATGTGTCTGAGGCCGGATTTCAACTCGGGTACTCCTGACTCAGGGCCGGTACTCTATCCACTGCGCCACCTAGCTGCCCCAGAGTTGATATTTCTAAATAACAGATATGGAAATGTGACAGTGATGTGCTGGTAAATGCTCAAGAACCAATTTGGTTGTGGGGTGGGGGGAGATTTGTACACAAGAAACATTTTTACATTTAACATTCCTCCATCACTTTCTTAGGTCTAGACAACAGAAACAACAATAACAAAAATAAATCAAGCTCTAATGTGTAGCATTTGCCAGTTTCTGAGGTATAAATGCTCACACTGAAAATTTGATCATGAGGTCTCCCTAGCCAGTTAAGAGCTGGCCCCCCCCAAAAAAAAGCTGGCCCCAGCGCAACCCTGAGTCGCTCCCTGCTCAAGAAACCTCAGTGATTCCCTATTGCCTAGCAGGGGTGGGCACATGTGGCTCTCTAGGTCCTCAAGTGCAGTCCTTTGACTGAATCCAAACTTTGGATGCACTTGAGAACCTGGAGGGCTACATGTGGCCTTAAGGCCAAAGGTTCCCCACCCCGGTTAGGATAGAATAAAAACTCTTCTGTTTGGCATTTAAACTCCTTCACGATATGGCTCTAGCCTACCTGTTAGACTGTCACACTGTTCCCTCACCCCCATTTACACTACATTGCAGCCAAATTATTCCCCTCTGCATAACATTCTATCTCTTGCCTGTCATTAAATTGGCTATCCCCCACGTCAGCAATACTTTTCTTCCTTACCTCTGCCTGTCAATATCCCTCACTCTTTGAGGCCTCAGCTCAAATTCCACCAAGAAGTTTTCTGTCACCTCACCTAGTAAATAGTGCTCAGCCCCACTAAATTACTTTGAAGATAGTATCTTTTTACTTATCTATGTCTCTGCTGTCTCCCCTTGTCCCCCCCATGGGAATTTTCCAAAGGCAAAAACTTCTTTATGTTTTGGTTTTTTATTTTTATCACTCAGCACAGACCTTGGTATACAGCAGGTGCTTAATAAATATTTGTTGGACTCAATTGAGTTGAATCTAAACTTTTGATTTTCCCCAGTACCTAACATAGTACACTGCACATATTATTAATAAATAATCACAAAAGCTGGCATGAATTTAATATGATTTCAAGTTTGCAAAGTGGTTTATATATTATCATCTCATTTGATTTCAACAACAACCATGTGAGATAGGTGCTATTATTATCTCCATTTTATAGACGAGGAAGCTGAGGCTGAGAAAGCTTAAGTGACTTGCCCAGAGTCTTCAGCAGAATTTGAATTTCAGTCATACTGATTTTAAGTCCAGCGGTCTGTTATGTCACCTAATGGCCTGTGGTGGTCGTTGGAGCAATCATTCAGTCAATAAACATTTATTAAGTGCCTACAATGTGCCAGGCTAAGAAAAAGAGGCAAAAGACAGTCTCTGACTTCAAGGAGCTCACAATGTAATGGGGGAGACAATAAGTGAATGAATACGTATAAACAAGTTATATACAGGGTAAACAGGAAGTAGTTATGAAAAGGAAGTCACTAGAATTTTTTTAAAGAATTTTATTTTATTTCCACTTAACAGCATTTTGTCTTTTCCAATTACATGTAAAGATAAGTTTTCAACATTCACTTTTATACGATTTTGAGTTCCAAAATTTTTTCTCCCTCTTTCCCTCCCCTTTCCCCTCTTCAAAATGGCAAGCAGTTGGATATAGGTTATACATGTACAATCAAATTAAACATATTTCCACATTAGTCATGTTGTGAAAGAAGAATCAGAACAAAAGGGAAAAACCATGAGAAAGAAAAAAAAAGAGGGAAAATAGTATGTTTCTGTCTGCATTCAGACTCCATAGCTCTTTTGGTGGGTGTGGATAGCATTTTCCATGATGAGTCTTTTGGAATCGTCTGATTTCATTGTATTGCTGAGAAGAGCTAAGTCTATCACAGGTGATCATCTCACAATGTTGCTATTACTGTGTAGAATGTTCTCAAGGTTCTTCGAAGTCACTACAATTAAGAGAGTCTAGGACTGGGAGGAAGAACTGCTTGGAGGGAGAGACAGAGCAGGGATCTGCAGGATGGGGGTCATTATTACAGCCATATAACAGAATCCCATCTCTTTGCCCTGTTCCCATAGGGCAAAACCCAGTTGTCTCCCAAGGAAAAGTCTTGTCCCCTTTCGACAGATGAAGACAGAGCATCAGAATATAGGTTCAGGGTGGGTTTCCCTTCTATTCTGTCCCACCTCAGTCAGAGAATTTGAAAAGTAAGTTCATGTTTGTGGGGGTAAGGGGGTAAGGTGATTCCATAGAGTCATTCGTTTATTAGACTCATCCTCTCTCCCTTTTTCAAATCCTATTCACATATCTCCCCTCCAGCCCTACCCCTTAATAAATTCAAGTACTCTAGAAATTTCACAGCATTTGTTTATTTAGTATTTAGGTGGTGAGGAAGATTCTGGGAGGAAAGGAAGAAAAAGTCTCAGCCTTGGGCAATGCAAGGGTGGGAAGAAGGGGGACTAGCAGGTGGGTGACTGATAAGGCTTCAGCCTGAACTCCAGCAGGGGTCATGTCAGTGGTCACTGGAAAAAGGAGAGCAATTGTATTGTTGAGTTTTCCTTCTGAACCCCACCCATTTGGGTAGCTCCCCTTTCCCATGGTGCTCCACTACCCGGATTCTGCTCTCCTACCCCTTCAAACTGGACCTCAGTTGTCTTATCCCTTCCAAGGGTAGCTCTCTGCCTCCCAAGACAACCAAGAAGCAATCTGATCAACTAGAAATCATCTTAGATATACTAGAGACTATGTCTCAAAAGACACAAAATGGTAGAGAGCTGGAAGGGGGTCATAGACAGGTTCTTTTGTCTAACTCCCTAATTTTGCAAATGAGGAAACTGAGGCCTAGAGAAAGACCTAAGACTTGCCTAAAATCACCCAGGTGATAGTAGAGTCCCATAACTTCTGACTCCAATTTTCCCTAGCTACACTGTGATTATTACTCTAGAGCTGGAAGGGATTTCAGAGGCCATCTAGGCTGACTTTGTCATATTTCAAGTGAGCAAAATGAGGTCCAGTGAGGATAAGTGTCACAAAATGTCACATCAGAGGCAGGATTTGAACCAAGGCCTTCTGATCTCCACTATGCCATGCTGCTTTACTGTTATTTCTCTGCCATGGCACCCCTACAAGGACCACCTTATATCCTCGCTTTAGAGCTGGCATTGGCCCCGGTGAAATAGATGGAAGCTTACACAACAGCCATGCTTACCTCAGTGAGAGCCTTGTTACACTCATCTGTAGGAAAAATAGAATGGTAGGGTAGGAGCTGCCTTGGTCATGACAGTTGGTACCCAAATCCAATGGGAAGACTGACTGGCCCAGAGAGTAGAAGGAACTTGCCTACACTCACATAGCTAGTAAATGGCAAACGTGGAACTAGAGCCCCCTATCACCTGACTCCCAGGTCAAGGCTCCACACCATCAAGTTTTAAAAGTCATTATTTAATTTTATTTCACTGCCTGAGGACCCCTATCAATGGTGGGTGATGGAACGTATAGGACTAAAGGATCGAGCTTGCACCTGTTTCCTTCTCTCTGTGTGATCCCCAGGATTGAAAGTAGGACTAGTGAGGGTGATGGTGTGGTTGTGAGGATCCTACCTGACTTAGGGAAGCTGGCACCTTGGCTGGGGTTCAGGTTTAATTTGGGTGCCAACATTTGCATCTTTTGTGCACCTTCAGCAAAGAGCTCTGGAGAAGAAAGGAGTGAATGGAGAAGTAAAAATAAATGAGTAGAGGGACACAGGTGAGTGAATAAAGGGACATGTAGCTGGGTAAATGGAACAGGTAGGGGAGTGGGAGTATATAGGTAGGTAAATAAAGAGAATATTGTTGAGACTGTTGAGACTCAGACACAGTAGGTGAATGAGGTGTGTAGGGGAATGACGGGGGGACACAGGTAGGGGAAAACAGGCAGGTTAATGGGATTCGTTAGTTAAATGGAAGGAAAAAGGTGGATTAGTGGGGGACACATGTGGTTCAGTGGGGGACACATGTGGTTCAGTGGAGGAGCTCAGGTAGGTAAGTGGGAGAACATAGCTGGGTGAGTAAGAGTTCATAGGTAGATAAATGAGATAGGACACAGATGGGGAGCAAATGGACTTCTGGGGGAAAAGCAGGCAGGTGGCTAGGGAGATGCAGGCAGATGAGTAAGAAGAAGCTAGTGGAGAAAATCAGTTGTATCAACTATCCCTTAGGTATAATGAGGAAGAATAGACTTAAATGGAGATGAGGTGGGGAAAAGGGATGAATTTGAGCACTGAAATGAGGATGGGGAAAAGAATAGGAATGGGGATGGAAATAGGGAATGGGGAAGGGAAGGGGACTGAAAAGGAGGGGACCAGTAGCAAGATTATACATACAGTACAGCTGCATCATTACTCTTTGAACAGGTCCCTTGTTTATCTTAATGCGAAGAATGGCATAATGTTTGTAGTCAGAGCTCAGCACACTGATGTCCTCCTGGCCCATGGCTGGGGAGAAAGGGAAGATCCCAGTTACTCCCACAAAGTGGATTCCCAACCCCAGATATCTTCTACGTGGTCTGATTTCACTTCGTACGCTCAGCCCAGAAAAGGGCAGAGAAACAACCAAACCTCTTGAAAGGCCTGTTAGAGGAGATTCCTCCCCTCAGCCATACCCATCCAACCAGAGAAAATGAATCTACAACTCTCTTCGTTGCCTAATACAATACCTGATATGCATCACTGACAGGAAGTTCTTCTTGGTGTCTGATCTCCATTCTTCTTGCTTCAATGTAAACTTCCCAAAGTAAAGATGGCCTTGTCCCAGAGCAGGTACTTTCGCACCCTCCCTCTCAGACCCTTACTACAAGTTCTCACTAAATAGGGTCACAGCCTCCAGCCTTACCTGGATTGCTGAATTGTCCTGGCATTGCACCCTTGGTGAAGGTAACATCTACTTTCTGGCACCTACCATCAGGCCTGTAAAATTGCCCACCAGTCCAGTCAGTCCCTTGGCTAAGACCTTCCCAACCTCATCAAAACTGACTCTGATAATGGCAGAGATGGAAGGCTTAGCAAGAAGTATTGGAGGGACATGTCTAGGTGTAAGCCCATAAGGCATACACCCCAAGTGCCCAACTCCATACTTTCTGACAATCCATGCTCTGCACAGCTTGTCCCTGACTAATTACGACTTTGTTAATCATTCCTTCAGCACCCACGTATCCAGTTTGTTGTAATATCATAACATATATATGTGTGTGTATGTGTGTATGTATATATAAAATATCTCATCCTACCCCCTCATATCATATCATATCATATATCATGTCATATCATGTCATATCATCTCACATCATATCATGTCATATCATCCTCAACTGCTCCTTAAATGAGCACAGGTCTCTCTTACAGCTCATATAATGTCAATACTCAACAAACTTATCTGTGTGACTCTGGATAATTCACTTAACTTCTCTCAGCCTCAGTTTCCTCATCTGTAAAATGGAAATAATAACATATCTCACAGGGTGATTGTGAGGATCAAATGAAATCACATATGTAAAGTACACTGCAAACCTTAAAATGCAATATAAATGTTAGTTATTATCTTCACAGTTATTAATATCTGCAATGGAGTCTTGTACCATTTCCACACATGTATGTGGCACCTTGCTTGAGAAGAATTTTTGTTCTATTTATTCCAAAACTTTCCTGAAGTCAACAAACAATAGACACAATGGAATCTCATGTTTTTTCCACCCAGAGATCAGCTGTATGCCTGTGAAGATATGGGCCATCATAGAGAATTCTTTATAAAAGTTCCTTTTTTACATTTTCATCAAGGATATTCTTGATGGAGCCATCTAAATTTCTGACTATAGTGTGTCAGTGCCGCATATTTGACCCTTAATCATATCTTTATTTAGGCATTGTTAATTAGTGTGTGTGTGTGTGTGTGTGTGTGTGTGTGTGTGTGTGTGTGTATTTTGGGTCTCGAAGAGAGTGCAGAACTTCTTCAGTGGGAGGGAGAGAAAGAAATACATACCATATAAATGTTACCTGCTATGTGCCAGGCATCTTGCTAGGCACTTTACGAATATTATCTCATTTGAGCCTTACAACAACTGTGGGAGGTAGGTGCAATTATCATCCCCATTTTATAATTGAGTAAACTGAGGCAGATAGAAATTAAGTGACTTGCTCAGGGAAGGTTGCTTTGAACTCAGGTCTTCCTGACGCCAGGCTCAGCAAGATCTCTCTCTTTCTATCTTTCACCACCTTGCTGCCTCACTGTTGAATGCTGCTGTTCAGTACTTTCAGTCCTGTCTGACTTTTTTGTGACCCCATTTGGGTTTTTCTTGACAAAGATACTGGAATGGTTTGCCGTTTCCTTCTTCAGCTCATTTTACGGATGAGGAAATTGAGGCAAACAGGGTTAAGTGACTTGCCCAGGGTCACACAGCTAAGTGTCTGAGACTGGATTTGAACTCTTGAAGATAATCTTCCTGACTCCAGGCCTGACACTGTACCACCTAGCTGCCTTTCAGTGCTGAATAACTAATGGAAATGTTGCTTGCTTGGGTTCTTCACTTGCCCTTTGTCTGTACCCACCTCCATAGTTGGATTTGCCAGTTCCTTAAAGGCAGGAGCTCTTGTCTTTTTTTGGTCCATTTAATTTAATAAATATGTATTAAGCACTTTCTGTGAGCCAGACCGGGCAGCTAGACGGCACAGTGAGAGTGCCAGGCCTGGAGTCAGTAAGACATCTCCCTCAGTTCAAATCTGGCCTCAGACACTACTAGCTGCGTGTCCCTGGGCAAGTCACTTCACACTGTTTGCCTCAGTTTCTTCATCTGTAAAATGATCTGGAGAAGGAAATGGCAAACCACTCCAGTATCTCTGCCAATAAAACCACAAATGGGATCACAAAGAGTCAGACAGGACTGAAATGACTCAATAACAGCAGGAGCCAGACACTAGGTGCTAGATGTTGGGAATACAAAAACAAAAAACCAAATAGTCCCTACCTGTAATGAGCTTACACTGTGGTAGGCAGAGACCTGTAATTATGAATTTTTGTGCCTGCGACAAGTGGCATGAACCAAACTGGGGCAGCTGGTAGGTAGAGAACTCTCAGTTGGGGAGTTGGTGGGGTACTTAGGAGAATCTGCCTTAAGGAGAGCTCAGTAACTGCCTAGATACCTCCAGGGCCCCCTGTGTCTCATCCCTACTCACCCTGGGAAAACTGTCTTGACGGACAAGTCACCATTGGCCAGAAGGGTCACCAAAGTGACTGGCATCTTCATCATTTCCTTCATGGCCAAAAAGTCTTCATCATCAGATGCTGCTGCTGTGATGTACCACAAACCCTGAAACTGAAGAGAGAAATTGTACCCCATCAGACTCAGACTCAGAGTCTTTTGGTATTTCAAATAAAACAAAGCCCAGAAGACACCTTACAAACCCAAGAGTGCTCTAGACGTTAGATGTCATGATTGCTATTTTCTAACCTCCCCACGCCCTAGGCTGTATACAAATCCAGTCTGCACGTATGGGGGGGGGGGTGTGCGTGGGTGTGCATGCGTGTGCCAGCAGCTAGAAGGGGAAAGAGTATAATCTCTAAGACAAGAAGCAGGATCTACACTAGGACACAGTCACTCAGCCTATCCTGGCTGTTAAACTCCATTGTCAAAGAATTTATGGGCAAAGACAAGCATCTGGGTTCCATGGCTGAAAAGGCATTAGAGTCAAGAGGAATTTAAGAAGTCATTTGCAGAGGTTCTTAACCTGGAGTCCATAAACTTGTCTTTAAAAACTTTTTTGATAAGCCTATTGCAATAAGTTGGTTTCCTTTGCAATCTTACATGTTTGTTATTATGCATTAAAAACCATTATTCTGAGAAGGGGGCTCATGGATTTCACCAAGCTGCCAAGGGGCTCCAGGTACCAAAAACGTTAAGAACATCTGAAAGTGAACCCTCTTGATTTTATGGAGGAGGCTAATGGGTCCCAGAGAGAGGAAGTAACTTGACAAAGGCTTGTTGTTCAGTCGTTTGGTTTTTTTTTCCAGTGGTGTCAGACTGTTCATGATCTACCATTTGGGGTTTTCTTGGCTAATACTGTAGTGATTTGCCATTTCCTTCTCCAGCTCATTTTGCAGGTGAGGAAACTGAGGCAAACAGGTTTAGGTAACTTGCCAAAGGCTAAACTAACATTAATTAGCAGCTCTGAGATTCAAACCTAGTTCTTCTGACTTAATCATTGAACAAGTATTTATTAATTAAGCATCTATTACGTGCCAGGCACTTTGCTGGGCACTGGGAATACCTGATCTTTAGAAGTTTTCATTCTATTGGAAGTGACATCATGCACATATATAAGTATATGTGAAATTTATTGAAGATATGTCACTGAGTTAACTAGAGTTCAGAGGTAACTGACAGTTGTCCTGTCTGCCACCAGTCAATGTCTTGTCTGACAAGATAGATGTAGGGAGTATACATATGACTTAGGTCTAGAATACAGATCGAGGAGCCCAGGATGTAGATAATAAGGTAGGGTGGTAGTATTGATAGTCCAGTGGCTAAGAATATCTTTATGACCCAATGAAAAGCCAGTTCAAACTAATAATTCCTTCTGGTGCTGTTTGTAACTGCACCAGGGAGAGAGATAAGGGTCTTGCTGGGGCCCACTCACGAGTAATTGCTAGGCACAGTGTCCTTGGGCTAAGGAGAAACTGCTAGGGATAGTGTTTCTGAGGCTAGGGAGAAACATGGTCATGGGATTGGGGTCCCAATACAATCACTCAAGCGCCTCATTAGAGCCCACCCCCATACTCACACCTCTTCTGAGGGGTTGGTTACCTTGCTGTTGTCAAAGTTGGCTTGAAGAGGGACAGCAGCTTGGACTGGAGGGCCCCAAGTAGGCAGCCCAGAAGCACAGCCTTCATCATCTTGAGTGTTCACTCAGCTCTAGACTGGGAGCCACCAAGACTTGAGAGTTGGATGTGGGATTGTACCCTCTGAGGCCATGGCATTGATCCTTCTAAGAAGATGCCCTGGGCGGGGAGGGGGAGGAAGAGGGCTCGATGCCCAAGGAAGATGATGCCAGCCACCATCTCTCAGCTCCATCCTGCCTGGCTGATGGCCTGTGTGAACCAGTGAAATGTCTTTCAAAAAACAGGATGTGCATTCATGTGCATGTTTCCTCCTTGGGTGGAGGAGAGACAGGGGTGGGGCGGGGAAGAGAAGCTCAGGTTTCAGCTTGGAGGGCTCCATTAGCCCTCCTGTCTTCTTTCTGCCCAGGATTCACTTAAATACCTACAGATCCAAGCCAGGGCTGAGCTTGAATCTTTCTGGACCCATTAGGCTTCGGTCCCAGCCACTACTTAGGTTGAGAATAAGTTAATGTGTATTATTTGTCAAGCGCTCCATTGTTTTCCAAAGCATTTGCCAACAGAGACTTCACGACATGCCCACAAGTAGCCCTGAAGGTAATCTGAGTTGGTAGTATTGTCCTCCTTTTACAGATTGGGAAACCGAGGCACAGAGAGGTGAATAGACTTGCAGAAAACACTGGGGCGGTGAATTTAGGGCCCATGAGAGGATGGAAAGGGAAATTACCAGATCCTTCCAGGGTAAGGTAAAGGGAGGGGGCCCTCATTCTCAAACCCAAATCCAGATCAGAATGACCCCCTAAACTCCAGGTAGAGATCTCTCTCATAGCAAATCAGAGCAATTGTTCTTGGCTCCCTTTGCTGACATTGGAACCCAGAGAAATAACCATGGGGGGAGGTGGGGCAGGAAGGAAAAATGACTGTCCCAAACAGTACAAAAGAGGACACCTGAGGAAATCCCTTCCCTCTGATTCTTTCTCTAGCCTAGGGAGTCTTAGAAGTCCAAGGGGGCCTGAGAGCCAACGGGGACTTAATTTGACTGCTGGGGCTTCTTGCTGGGTCAATTTACTAGTGCCTTCCTTTTGAGATTACCTCCAGTTTATCCTGTCCACGTCTTTGATGTTCATAGTTGATTGCATGTTGTCTCCCCCATTAGAATATGAGCTCCTTGAAGGCAGGACTGCTTTTTGCCTTTCTTTGTAACTCCAGGGTTCAGCACAGTGCTGGCACATAGCAAGTGCTTAAGAAATGTTTGTTGATTTGCTGACTGATTTAATGGATAATCTCTGATAGAGCTATGGCTGAAAAAAAAATCTGTCACCCTGCAGCCAACCTGGTAAATAAGCTTCTCTGGACTAGACTAGGTTAGTCCTTGAATAATTAGACACAGTGTTCATTCCTGGGCTTACCTGTAAAGCCCTTCCACTCAGTGGGACCCAAAGAAAGTTCTGTTCCATTGGCACAGCCTTCAAAGGTCAAAGTTCACTGACACACTATGAGGAAGCATCTAAGGAGGACTTAAGGAAACACCAGGCCAGATAATCACAGTTCACCCCATTGCATTAGAGACATACAGAATGAAGAACTATATGAAGACCAAAGCAGTTTTGACTGTGATCAGGGAAAGGTCTGTGATGGACCCTTTGAGAATACCCATAGGAAGGAAAAGGAGCAAGGAAAGGAAATAGAAAAGAGCCATAGGGGGAGGAGGGAGTACATTAGGTAAAGTCTGATTTCTTCAGTCTGGTTTTCAAGGCCCTTCGCAATTTGATCCTAACCTGCTTCTTTGGTCTTATATGCACACTGCTCCTGTAAATGCAACCTTTGCTATAATCACACTGGACTTATTTGCCATTCTCTGAATATGCTTCAAGCTTTTCCAGCTTTCCTTCTCCTGCATTTCTCTCCCTTAACATCTTCGTCTCTTGAAATTCTGTTGGTCCATCAAAGTTCAGTTCCTCCATGAGGCCTTCCCTTATGTACCTACCTGGAAGGAACTGCTTTCTCCTCTGAAGTGGTAAAGCACTCTTTCTTTCTTTTTTTTTTTATCATTATTTATTTGTTTATTTTTAGTTTTCAACATTCACTTCCATAAGCTTTTGAGTTTTAAATTTTTTCCTCCTCCTTCCTTTCCCTCCTCTCTCCCGAAGAGGGTGCACAATCTGATATAGACTCTACATATACATTCATATTAAACATTTTCACATTAGTCATGTCATAAGGAAGAATTAGAACCAGTGAGAGGAACTACAAGAAAGGAGAAACAAAACAAAACAAAAACAAAATCAGAGCAAATAGTATGCTTCAATCTCTATTCAGACTCCATAGTTCTTTCTCTGGATGTGAATAGCATTTTCCATCATGAGTCTTTTGGAGTTGTCTTAGATCCTTGCACTGCTGAGAAGAGCGAAGTCTATGAAAGTTAGTCATCTCACAGTGTTATGGTGTCCAGTGTTCTCCTGGTTCTGCTAAAGCACCCTTTCAATGTGTCTTAAGTCCCTTTCCCATACCTCCTTGAACTATATGAATTTCTACTTCCTCTTGAAGATTGCCTTCTTGCCGCTACTCTGCCTGTATCTTGTATATACCTTGCATCGACCATGAATCCACTTTGTATCAGTCTTATATCTACTTTACACATCTTGGGCATACTTCCCTAGCACCTTCTATCTCCTCCCTATGTACCTTGTATATCTATTTACATATTGCTATCTCCATCAGAGTATAATCTCCTTGAGGGTAGGGACTGTTTGTTCTCTCTTTATCTTTGTGTCATCAATGTTTAACATAGCACCTGGCGCCATAGCAATCCCTTAATAAATGCTTGTTGGTTTCTTGACTGATCAATGTCCAGTCCTTTTTTTTCCCCCAATTTTTTGTTTTAGGCAATTGGAGTTAAGTAACTTGCCCAGGGTCACACAGCTATTAAGTGTCTGCGTGCCACCGAGCTGCCCCAATGTCCAGTCTTTCTCCTACACTGTGACCTCCTTGAGAACAGGAGACCTTTCTCATACAAAGTTGTGAAACCTCAATGCTAAGCATGAGGCCTTGCTAATAATAGGTGCTCAATAAATATTTGTTTATAATTACACTACAGTAGAAAGAGGAGTCAAAGCTTAATCTAAAGATTCCAAATAGCCTGAGTCACTGGGAAGGGAGGAAATTAACAGAGATGAAGAAGTCAGGAAGAACTGGAGTTGGAGGGAGAATGCTTAGTTTGGCTTTAACATGTGTTGAATTTGGATTTGAAAGGCAGTGGGTCATTCAAATAAAAATGCCCAGTAGGTATTTGGAAATTTTGAGACCAAAGCTCTAGAAAAAGGTCAGTACTAGAGCTATTGAATTTGGGAGTTATCTGGGTATAATTAAAGCCATTGGAATAGATGATCTTACCACAAGAGAAGGTGTAGAGATTAGAAAAGAAGGGTGTGGGCAGACCCTTGGCAAATACATATTTTTGGAGAGAGGGAAAGGGAATAGGAGAAAGGAAAAAAAACAGAGAAGTCAGAGACTGAGGAAGAAAATTTGGAGGGGAGGTATAACTAGTTATTTTTTCACCTGGGGGCTAGGAGCACAAAATATACCAGGAACAAGAAATGGGGGAGGGGGAAGGCCCTCAGACCAAAGAAGAGCTGACTGAGTAAAGAGCTTCTCTTTTTAATCATCTATTCTTTTTTTCGTTTTTTTTTTTTAGGCAATTGGGGTTAAGTGACTTGCCCAGGGTCACACAGCTAACAAGTGTCAAGTGTTTGGTCTGAGGCTGGATTTGAACTCAGGTCCTGTGCTCTATTGCAGTGCGACACCTAGCTGCTCCTTTAAACCATCTATTCTTACTAAGGGTTAAGACAATCATCTCTATTCTACTGAAAGCGTTGTTATTGCCTTCTAAATGTTAATGTACTGAGGCAAAGTTCACATCACCCAGCCCTAGTTATGTCTCTGACAAGGAGAGTATAGTGTCAAGGAAGACAAGAAAAGGAGAATTTCAAGGAGTAATTGGTCAACAGTATTAGTAGTTACTGCAGAAAAGTCAAGAAGGAAGAGAACTGGTAGGATTTGGTGAATAGGAAGTCATGGTAACTTGTACGATGAATTTCAGTAATTCTGGTAGGGACAGAAATCTGATGGCTAAGGTTCAGGAAGGGATGGGAAGGCCACAAGAGAAGTAATGTGTGGGCAAATTTTTTTTTTAAAGTTAAGGGTTCAATCTGTGGCTGGGTTTATAGGGCAGCTAGTGGCTTGGGTGAGGGAATCACTTTGTGACTTGGTCAGTCTGTGGCAAGGACTAAAGAGAGAAGCTTTTGGCTTCGCAGCCTGTTTCTCTTCTTTGCCCAATTAGGGGTAGGAGGGACGGGAGTAAAACAGTAGAGGGGTTTCTTTCTCCTCCAAACTAATCTTTCCCTTTATCTAAATCTGTTCTAAGATAAACCCTTATCTCTGAGCCATCTAATTTCTTTAATCCCCACTTTACGCTTAATCGGATTAGGCCCAAAGAAGTACCTTCCAATTTTTTTCCTCCCCAAGGGTGACAGTATTTTGGGATTACCCTGGGAGTGGCAGGCAACAATCAAGCGATCAAAAAACAAAGCCAAAAAAAATCAAAGTTAAGTACAGACTTCATCCATTCCCTCATCTTTCCCCCCCACTCCAAGGAGCTATTCGGAGGTCAATTGATACTCAAGGGTCCCTTAGGACTATGAGGCTCTGTTCCCTTCTTCAGCTTTAGCTCTAGTGATATCATACTGGATGGCACCATTCCCCACTCTCAGCTCTGGACATCCAACTATGGCAACGTCACAATTTGGTTGCCTGGTTGGGAAGACGTTGGATAAATTGTGTGATGCTAGAATGCTAGAATCATTAGACACACGATATCAAAGCTAAGTCCCTAGAAGGATGTCATTCATAGATAGATGTCATTCATTTTATAAATTAAGAAACTGAAGCCCAGTAACCCTCAAGGACCACACTGTGGTATAAATTAAGAGAAGGAAGAAAGTTGCTATTGAGAGGACAAGACAAGAGCCAGGACCAGGTACTCCACTTATTTATTTGGTGGGGCCAGTACAGAAGCACAAAGCTGGGGGTGGCACCAGGCAGAAGGATCCTGCCTGCCAGGGGGCCATGGAGCTGAGACTTTCCAGAGAAGAGTCTGAGGTCCAAGGGGGTCATTAAGGCATGTGCAGGACCTGAGTGGAAGGAGAAAAAAACCGTGATATAGTAAGTGGAAAAAGCCTCAAACTTCAAACTGAGATTCCTGTGTAGAAATCTGACACCAACCGCAAGGCCCAAGGCAACTCACTTAAATTTTTTCTGAGGCTCTGCCTCTACATGTGTCAAATGAAGTTGACAGTAAAGATCACTGTCTAACACACTTGGTAGTTGTGAGAAAAGCACTTTTGAAACAGATGTTATTTCTAGCAGGTACCATTTATCCTTCTTCCCACCTGCACTCCCACACCCCCACACTCCATCCCCAATCCCTGTTGTGGATAAGGCATCAGAGGCCATGCCCTTCAGGGCTACTCACTTAGTTTTCATCGATACACTGATCTGCAGGAGAGAAAAAATGTTGGTTATCCCCAAATCTGTATACAGAGGAGGTTACAAGGAATCCCAATCATTCTATCCCTTAAATAGAACCACTCCCTTTCTCTCCTATACTCAACTGTCCTCTACCCAGGAGAATCTATCTTCATTTTAAGCCTCCTATAGTGCCTTTAGCTCTTCATTCTAGGATCTGGTAGTGTTTGTCAGAGTTCTTTTCACGTCTAATCTCAATCCTCCCTGATGCAATACAAGCCCCCTTTCTTCTTATGATCGCTTCAAAGAAGAAGAAAGAGTTCTAACTCCTCTTCCCCTCTGCCTTCTTGAGAAGGAAGAATAATGTCAGTCAGTTGGCCTTTCTCTCGTAGGATGTATCTACCACCTCCTCTAGACTGTAGTCAACTAAGAGTAGAACCCCTAGAATTCTCCAGATTTGGGGTGTTAGGTGGGAAGCCCTAGTCTTTCCCCTCGGACCAGAGCTTCCCAGAAGGCCTAGACCTGTCATTTCCACCTCCTCCCCACCTACATAATTGTTTTCTGAGGCTCAGTAAGGTAAGAACCCTGAGTTTAGGGTGCTGTCTCTCATTCATCTCCCCAAATATGGCTTTGTGAGAGAGTAGTGGAAATTAGCCCAATCCTCTTTATCTGTTGTTCTGTCACTGGGGAAGCCATCACCTGATGCTATAGGCTAGCTCAAGGAAGTTCTGAGATCCAGGGCAAAGAGCAGAGGGAAGGAGGCAAGAATCAGAGGAGGGACTGGTATTTGAAGAAGTCTAGACCCTAGCTTCTCCTGTACAATGAACCAACTCTGTCCTAGGATCCTCCTCCCTCAATTAAGGTGTTTGGCCAAGGCTATTTATCTGCTCCTTATCAGACCCTAATCCCTCTTCCCCTCAAATCTTGCCCTCACCAGTTTTGGGCAGGATGACAATGGTATCTTCTGTGAAGCCATGGGACTTGGCAAACCTGATGAACCTCTCCTTCAGCTCAGGTCTCACATCCTTGGTTCTGCCTGTAGCAGAAGTGGGTGGCACACAAGGGAAGCACAGATTAAGTAGGAAAAGAGATCACCTGGCGCAGTCCCCTCTTTCCAAGAAGGATTGATCTTAAAACTCAGTCCAGGAAAGCTGTTCCCTAGTCTCTTGATTATGGTTCCCAGGGTCAGAATTTAGGATGTTAGCCCTACTTCCATCTGGGACACTTCAGTGGAAATCTCATTCTGTCCTTAGAGAGAAAGGGTTAAATGATCTGGATCCAGGAAAACCTAAGGATTGGCTGGTACTTGCAATAAAACAGGGGGAAGGCAGGAGGGTTTGGAGACCCTATCCCAATTAGCAGGTGGGGCACTAGGTGGGGTCCCCTTTGGGCTGGACTGGGATACCCTGGGTACATACTGTAGAGAGTTGCCATGTTGAAGTTACTGTTGCCTTTGGTTTTAGTGGTATACAGCAAGGAGTATTCTTCATAGTTGGTTTCCACCACAAAGATGTTATGTTCACTCCCCCACTCTGTGAAAACACAAGGAAGGGAACATTGTGGGGAGCTCCTGGACCCCTTTCCACTTGGGGCTCTCTAAACCTGCTTCCCCTCTTGGAATCCTAACTAGGTGGCAAGTAGGGGGAAATGGATTCATTCACCCAGTGCCAGCCAATGTCCTTTTCGGTCATAGATACCCTCTTGATATTTTCAATGGCATTTCCTCCCTGGATCCCCTGAACTCTGCTTAGACAGGTAAGTCCCTATGCCCTGACAGAAAAAACAGAGGAGCTAAGGAGGAGAGGAAGGGGAGCACTTACTGATGCTTTTGTAAACATAATGTCCTGGCTGCTGGGTCTTCTTCAGGAGTGAGGTTCGGGTCTCACACTGGTTATTGCTGTAGGTACATCCCAGACACAGAGTCAAGTAGGTAGCTAGTCCCAGCCCCCCTGCCCCTGCCCCAACCCCAGCCAAAGTTCAAACACTATGACCATGGAGGGCCTAATGTTTAGAAGCAGTACAGATTTAGAGTAGGAAGTTTGCTGAGCTAACTTTGAGGTTGGGGTTAATATTAGAGGATCATATAATTAGAATCAGAATTGGAGGGAACCTCAAAGACCATTGGCTCCAACCCTTCATTTTATTTTATTTTGACAGTAAATTTCTTTTTTTCCCTCTTTTTAAAAATATTTATTTATTTTTAGCTTTCAACATTCATTTTTATAGGATTTTGAGTTCTAAATTTTTCCCCCTTCCTCCTCTCGACCCTTCATTTTATAGATGAGGAAACTGAGGCAAAATGAAGTTAAGTGACTTGCCCAGGGTCACATAGGCAGGATTTGAACTCAAGTCTTTCTGACTTCAAATTCATTGCTATATCTACTGTCCTACCTAGCTGCTTCTGGATTGGCATTGGAAATGTGAAAGGTTTAAAGGATAACTAAGATATGATTATGATGAGTTGAGATGAGGTTAATATTAGAGGCTGCGGTTATGGCTATAGTGAGGGATAGGGTTAAATATTAGGAGTACATATTGTCCTACCTGTTCATGCTCCCAGCCCCACTGTGGCATTAATAGCCAGACCCTGACCTTCCCTTTACCTGGCTCAAGTTACCTGTTCTGATTAAAAATTGCTTAATAATGCCTCCTGTGAAGAGATGTAGAGTAAAGAAAGCAGAGACAAAAGAACAATATGCATATGGACAACAATTATGTAAATAAAGACCCTACTAAGGCAAACACAACCTGGGTCAAGTACAATGAACAATGTGGGTTCCTTCCATTCAATGAAGACTAAAACACACTTTCTTCCTTTCTGTGAACAATCTCATAAACTACAAAGGTGGCTGGTGACATGCAACATCCATTCTCAGTGACATGAGGTAGATCAGAGTATTGGCCAAAGCCAGCAAGACTTGGGTTGAAGCCCTGCCTCCAAAACATACCGATGCCGGGCAAATCACATAACCTTGTTGTAGTACTCTGGGCAACTATGACTATAAAAAGCCGAGAAGATACTGACCCACACTGGTAGAGGGAATTTCCTCACCTGGGCAGTCCCTTTAACAGTTATGTCACAGGTGCATTCCTTATCTCACTGCTAGGGTGGCTTTAACTGTTTCTGGGCAACGTACATTGTATGCAGTGGGGGAGGTTTGTAGTATTAGGAGAGTCTACACTGCCCTATCCCAATAAATATTGTTTTATAAAACTATTATAGCTAAGTCACCACCTTCCCCTTCCCCATCCCACTCCAGCATTCCCTGCTCTGTTCCTGATCTGTTTGGGAAGGAGTGATGGTTAGGGGGCAGAGAAAGGAAAGGTCCTTCATCCTCCCATGACCTCTCCATTTTATTTAACCTCATATAATACCTGAAGCTGACTCCCTAGGCCAGCTGGCAGCCCAGGTCCTGATCATTGCCCAGGCTCCTAGTCTTACCTGACGAAGGTGGCGGTGAAGTTGACTGTTCCATCGGCTTCTGGAGTCAGGACGGTCTTGCACATCATCAGCTCTGCCTTCTTTTTCAGGAACCAGGGGAAGGTAGAGGCCAATCCCACGCTGTACCACGTTCCTACAAACTGTGGGGCAGCTTCTTTGTAGCAGGCCAAGCCTCTGGGACCCTTCACCTATTTCTGTTCATTCCCTATCATTCCCCAGGCATTCCAACGTTCACTCCAAGGTGGTCTTCAGAGTGAACTGTCTGAACAATCTCATAAACTACAAAGGTGGCTGGTGACATGCAACATCCATTCTCAGTGACATGAAGTAGATCAGAGTATTGGCCAAAGCATAGAACACTGACCCAAGTCAACAGCCCACCACCCCTGAGAACCCTGGGCACCTTGTGATGATAGTGGTGGTGGTGTCAGACCCTTCTCATCAGCCACTAAGTCATCCTGGCTCTCAGAGTTCAGGAGTGGTTCTCCCTCTGACCCTTTGTTCCACTGTAGAGAGGTCCCCCGCCCCCCAATCCCCACTGCTCTTCAGTGAACAGGTAGTTATTTACAGCTCACTGACAGGCAAGACTGGAACAGCTGGCAGTATCCCAGGAAACCAGCAGAGGGCATGCTGGGGCTGTTCTTGGAGTCTTGGGCTGACGATTGAACCAAGGGTGGAGGTCTGTCCACCCTCCCTCCTTCTTCCCCAATAGTTCTAGCTGCCACTCCAACCAACCTCTGCAAATCTTTGTGGGGAAAGGATCAGCCCACAGCTATGTGCATACATATGAGCAGCTTGTATCCATGGGAATATCTCCTTTGCTTGCCCACCCCACATTTTGTTACGAGGGCAAGACTACCCCCCCCGCCCCGCCCCATTCACACCCTTATCTTACAGCAGACCTTGAGTGATAGGGCTAATCTATGAGCTTTTCACCACTTTGAGGTTTTGGACCAGGTCAGATGTGTAAGGCACATCTAGGGACCAGACTACTTTACATCTACCCATTGATCCATCCCCTCATTTATTATCTCCCAGCAAAAATAACCCAACTGGAATAGAACATTGAGGGAAGGGAAGCTGGACAAGGTCCCCCAGCTTCAGCTCCAATTGGGCTGCAGCAGCAGGGACCCCTTTCCCACTTACCTTGTCTTCTACGAAGGCTGGCTGAACTGGGATCTCCTGTTGGGAGTCCTGGGCCTGGGTCTCTAGGGCCTGGAGCAAAGCTAGCCCCACCCACAGGAGACCCATAGCCATCATTTTGTTAAAGGGCTGAGAACTGAGGAGATCCTGTTCCAGGCACGAAGGTCTGGGTCTGGGATGGGCAAGAGAGAGAAGCAGAAGGCAAGTGAGGGAGCTGCAGGGAAGACCCCTATTTATGGGCCTGGCTTGGCATCCACCCAACCAGAAACAACACAGCATGGGTTCATGGTATCAGTGAGGGGGAGGAGAGGGCGGTCTCTCTCAGTCCCACATCATCCTCCCCTCCCCCTGCTGCCCAGCTGCTGAGTCCAGTTATGCAAGGTACACACACACACACACACAC